TAAGTATCTAAGTAAGTAAGTATAGAAGCAATCAGTAAGAAATGCTGTAAGTTTTCTGCATACCAGACGGGGCCAAGGTTCTAAGAAATGGGTATACTCTTTTCAACCTGAGCCCCTGTGGTAAGTGATGTTGCAAGCCATTAAAAGTCATATCTAAACTGACTAGCTCGATGACTTGATAAAGCTCCATTTTAAAGCGGACATCGACCGACTCTCCAACGTGCCGCTTTGGTCTGACAATATCTGGACCTCTTTTACGCATCAGCGCTGCCATCAATTTTTGGGAGATTGTTACGTCTTGGTCTGAATATAAGTTAGGGTTAAAATCACTTGATGTCAATCACAGTTTCACAGAAAACGTGTTTATACCTTCATTAATTTCAACCTCAGCTATGGCACAAGCGAAGAGGCAAGTAAGTGTCAGACCTTTCATATCTGAAGTTCGTATAGATTTGCTCGAAAATATAACGTAAGGGATGACGCAGACAGCCGGAAAAAGAGCGATTCATAGATCAAAAATTAACACCGCGATAGAAAACGTAGAAAATATCTCTGATGTAGATGATGCATCCGCTTGAGTACTGAATGAACATACCTACTATGATGGGAACATCCGCCTACATGCCAATCTCAGATTCAAATCTTGTTTTTCTGCTTCCTTACTGCTAGACGCAGCAGAACTCACAAGCTCATCATAAATAATTATATGTAATCAAATCATGCAACTAATTGCTATGGCAAACTTTCTTGACATTTATGACCGATGTTTTTGGGAAGAAGATAGTCATGCTCTGCTATCCTTCTAATTGTTGAGCCATAAAAAATTCATATATGCTTTTTATATCTAAATTGTAATGGTTGTTATGTTACAAAGTAGGTAACAAAAACGTTTGTGTGGTTATGAAACTATCGATAGATCGTCTGTTTGGACAATCTTAAGAGCATATTGACATGTATGATATTCAATACAAACTGCTGCAAAAGTATCCTTACATGTTCTGTTGACTTCAACACATAATTTCAATAAAACATGTGCAGCTTTGAGCAAATATAGAGTGGCAAGGTTAACAATAGAATAAAATATGCAAAAGCAACAAGATTACGATGTATCGCACTTCATTAACGTTTGTCGATCTTATTCTTTTGTTTTTTTCTTTGAAATTCAAAAATCTCATATGGATTCT